CAGCATTCATGTCTCAGCTTGCCAACCAAGATGTCAGTTACCCAGAGAGGTCTTGGGAACCTAAACTTTATTTGACCCTTATTCAAAATGGAATTTTAATTCAAAATGACTTCAGTTTGGCCCCTTCTTACAATTTCAAATACAATACCTGCATTCAATTGACATATTCTATGACATGCCAGGTTTTGCAACTCTTCCCTCCCTCCCTCCTCTCCATTCCTCCTGCTCTCCATCGTTCCTGCTCTTCATTCTTCCCTCTCTTTGCTTCTTTCCCCACAACCCTATAAGATGGGTCCTGCTATTACCTTACTTTAAGATGAGGACATTGGAATATAGAAAGATTAAGTAATTATCTAATAGCTCAGGACTGGGAAGTAGCTGTGCAAAATTCTAAAGCAACCTCTGTTTCCAGAAGTGGTGCTTTTAAACCTTCAAGTCAAATAGACTCCCAGGAGCTTATGATACGAGTGCATGTAATACAAACTTTCCTTTTCAGAGTGAGAGCAGGGAACGTTGGGCTGGCTACTTTTATGTGATCTCGACATAAGCTAGAGTCATTTGGGATGCACCCACAACTGGCCTATGCACAAGCCTGTGTAGCGTTTTCTTGATTGATATTGACATGGAAGGGCACTGAGGGAAGTGCCACCCACGTGCCAGTGGTCCTGGGTGCTATTAGAAAGCAGGCTGAGCAGGCCACGAGTAAGTAGCACTCCTCCATGGTCTGTACTTCAGTTTCTATGTCCACGTCCCTGCCTTAGTGCTTGCCCTGGCTTCCCTTCATTATGGATGTGATCAGACATGTAAACTAGAAACTCCCTCCACTTCAAGTTGCTTTTGCCCATTGTATTCACCTCAGCAATAGAAACCCTAGGAAAAAGTGAATAAGGAAGCAAAAAATGACTCCTCTTAAGCATTCCCCATAAGCCAACATCAAAAAAGCATCTAACTTGGAATGTGAAATATATGCACAAAATGAATTTATTTGAACACAAGAACAAAAGTACAGCAATTGCAGAAAAATGGCTGGTACTGTTGATCATCATGTTAAGTGAAATACGCTAGACTCAGGCAGACAAATAGCATGTTATCTCTCACACTCTGGATTTAAAAAAAAAGAGAGAGAGAGACATACAAATAAAAGGATGTTGTGGCTTAAACCTGAACTAGCCCCATAGGCTCCTGTTCTGATTCTTGGTGGCTAGTTTGAAGCACCATTTCTGGTGGTAGTGGGTCACTGAGGTGGTCCTCTGAAGGTTATATCTGGGTCACTGAGGCAGTTTTCTGAGGATTATATCCAGGCTAGTTCTCTGCTTCCTGTCCAACACCTTATGAAAAGTTTTTGCTCCACGGCCATAAACCCCATTGTGTCTTTCCTATCTTGATGGACTGAGAATGTGAACCCACGTAAACCTGTTCTCCCTGAAGTTGTTTCTGTCAGGCATTTGGTTACACAGTCCGCAGGTAAAACACTCACACACATAAAAGAAAAGTTAAGATAGATAGATGGATAGATAGATAGATAGATAGATAGATAGATAGATAGATAGACAGACAGATAAATGGAAATGCCCTGTTGTTCGAATGAGAATGGAGTTATGGAGAAGTATCAAGTGAAAGCCCGAAGTTGGAAATCATTTGCCAACAGGTGGCAATCCAATTTAATATCCGCGGCTACGGCGTGCGTTCTTTCAGATGTATACTCTGACTAGTAAAGCCTTTTTTCTCTCCTGGTGGAGAGGGTATTTACAAGAACACTGCATTCACTCCTGAGGTTGGCACCTGCCTGGGCATGTCTGGTGGACTAACAGGGTGAGTCTGCGGGGAGAGTGCTTTCAGGATACTAAAAACCTGAGGAAATTTCCTTCAGGCAGAAAACTGCAGAAATGATCATAAAGCCTCAGCTGTTAGAGGAGATGGCTGATTTCAGCACGCGTGATAGCAAAGCAGTATTGGGCCAGCGGTAAGAAATGTGTGAGAGCTGTTTAAGTCGCTCACACCTGTCGATCACCTAGGAGTAGCGGATGATCAATCATTATAATCAACTCTTTATTACTTGCATGCAGTGCTTACCCCAGTGTCTTCGTAGAAACCAAGGGGTCTTTAGAAGATATTTGCTCTCTCATGACCTCACACATTTCTGATGTTAGTAACAGTAAGTGCTGCTAGTTATTTTCTCTCTCGTCCTTGACGTGTGTGTGTGTGCGCGCGCGTGCGTGTGTGCGTGCGATGGTACACATATAAAGGTCAAAGGGCAGCCTGCAGGAGTTGGTTCTCTCCTTTTACCATGTAGATTCCAGGGACTGAACTCAGATCTTTGAACTTGACAGAAGTACCTTTTGCCCTCTGAGCCATCTCATGGGCCTTTCCTTCTTTTTCTTGTGATAGCAACTTGCTTTACCGCCCAGTCCAGTGGATACAAGGTAGAAGACTACTATTTCCCTTCCTCCTCCTCCTCTTCCTTTTTGTTTGTTTTTTTGAGACAGGCTTTTCTGTGTAGCCTTGGCTGTCCTAGACTCATTTTGTATACTAGACTGGCCTGGAACTCACAGAGATCCACCTGACTCTGCCTCCCAGAGTGCTGGGATTACAAGTCTGTGCCAACCTGGCTGCAAGCTGGACTTCTCTATCAGGCCACTGAGTAAGCTGACACTGACACCTCACAAGACCAGCTCCATTGTTATTGCTTTTATTACAGTCCCATTTTATACATTTTTCTAATTTTTAATGGTGTCAGTGAGAAAATAGGAATTAATTTTCTTTTTTGTTTCTATTTTTTGGTTTTGTTTTTTTGAGACAGAGTTTCTCTGTATATTCTGGGTTGTCTTGGAACTCACCATGTAGCCCACCAAGCTTGACAAGCCTGGAACCTGCATGCTGAAAAGAAATGAACAACCTCTACAAGTTGTTCTCTGACTGCCACATGTGGTCTGTGGGAGACACACACATCATACATACATACATACACACATACAGACATGTGTGTATGTGTGTGTTTACATAGAACATCATAAATCAGGATTTAAAAAGTCAGTTATATCCACTTATCACCATGGAAATATCTTGAGTTTTAGTAACTACTGGTTAAATCTGGCCCATTCTTCTCACATTTTCCATCCCTCTCACTTCTCAACAAAGCACAGGAGGGCCACGGGCTCTGTGGCATCACTAAACTCCGGTCCTGAACCGAGCAGTGATCAATTGTGATGATGTAGTTGGCACAGCTGTCTGACAGGGTTTAATTATTGTGCCTTCTGGGAGGTAAGGGAAGGCAACAGGGTTCTGGCCTACCTGGAGAGGGGAAATAAGTTCTTATTTTCTTCGGCGGTGTCCTGATTCACTTTCTATTGCTGTTTGTGATAAACAACAGGACCAAATCAAGTTGGGGAGGAAAGGATTTATTTGGTTTATCCATCTCAGATCACAGTCAATCCTGAGGCAAGTCAGGGCAGAAATCGACACAGAGGCCCCGGCGGGATGCTGCTCACCGACTTGCTCCCAGTGGCTCAGTCAACCTGCTTCCTAATACAAATCCATGCCCAGGATGGCACTGTCCACAGTGGGTTAATCCCTCCCACATCAATCTTTCATTTCAAACATTACCCTGTAGGTCAAATCCGAAGGAAGTATTTTCTCAGTTGAGATCCTCTCTTCCCAGATGAACCTGGCTTGTGTCAAGTTAACAAAAATCTAACCAGCACAAGTAGGAAGGATGGATAGCGATCTAGCCAACATTCAATGAAGAAGTAAGCAAACACCATCCCTACCAAGGAACTGATTTTGTGGCAATCCAGATCGATTCAGGAATTGCCTCCTGTAAGAAAAAAAAAGCACAATGTTCATCAATAGCAAGAACATTCCTCACCTACTGACATTAATTTTACCCTTCTCTTTCTATTTAGGGAAATGTACTCAGACATTTGAATATTTTGAAAATTATTTTCTAAACCAGGTTAAAAAATTTTTTTAAAAGCAATGGTGCCACATACCTTTAATCCTAGCACTCAAAGGGGGTTGAGTTCCAGGGTAGCCAAGGGTACACACAGAATGCCCCCCAAAAACAAAAACTAAAAAAGAAAGAAAAACTATTCATTCCATTTACAGTTTTTTTTTGTTTGTTTTTAGAATTCTGTGTCTCTGCGTGGGTATGTGTACCTGGGTTCACGTGACTGTGGAGGTCAGAGGCTTTATTCCTGGAGCTGGAGTTAAAGGCAGTTATAAGCCACCAGGCATGCCTTCAGGGAATCTATGTCAGGTCCTCTGCAAGAGCCATTTACACTCTTAGCCACTGAGCAAACATTCTAGCCCTAACATTAACATTTAGAAGTAACATTTGTTTTTTGTTTTTTTTTTCTCTTGAGACAATGTCTCTTGTAGCCCAGGCTGGCCTTGAAACTGCTGTGTAACTGAGGATGTCCTTGAACTCTTGATTCTCCTGCTGAGATTACAGGTGTGGGCTACCATGCCCCCCAAAAGTAGTATGATTAAATGTACACAACAGGATGTGAATATCACAGTGATTTGATACTCACCGTTATCCTCCAGAGACTCCTCCTTAAAAATCTCCAAACTAAAACAAATTGTCAAACGTTCTTAACCACAATGCTCCCATGTGTTAAAAATTCTGAGTTACTGTATTATTATTTTAATATCTAATTGATAAATTATAACTTTTAAATGTTGGATTATTATTATTATCACATTATTAGCTTTTTGAGATAGGTTCTTGCTATGCAATCCTGGCTGTTCTGGAATTCATTTTGCAGGTTACGATGACCTCAAACTTGTGGGTGCTATAACCCGTCTCTGTCTCTAGAATGCTAACATTATAGGTGATCATTGCCATATGGCTGACAATATTGGTGATCAGTAGGGCTTTAAAAATTGATTATATGTCATACATGAACCTTGTATATTTTTTATAAGGCGTCAAGGCTGGCAACAGATCGCCTATCCTTATTTTATGAACACTGGGTAGCAGTATTCATAAATATGAGTAGATGGTGATGGAAGGAAATGTTGTTATTCCACTCATTTATTTCAAAACTTTCCAAATCACTTTCTAACATCAGTTTCTAACATCACATGGTTTTAGTTTCAATAACTTATCAATGGACAATTTGAATAAACTCTTCTTCAATTTATCAGAAAAAAATTGCTTTCAAAAGAATTTGTTAGTGAAAAAATCATTCCGTTTCCCACTACTAATTTCATTAGATGTTTCTCCTTAGTTCCTTCCAGGTTTTACACTTCAGAATACAGTCCTTTCCATGGGGGTTTGTCTCTGGGACCACGCTCTCCATTCCAGCAAATGTGTGCTCATGGCCCACATATACAGAATTTCCATATAGCCTGTATTTAGAGCTCCATGTAAATCATTTACAGATTACCTGTAACACCCAAATACAATGTAAACGTTATGCTATGTAAGTAGTTGTTACACTTGTTCTAGAGAATAACATTTAGAAACAGTCTATACATATTCAGAATAGAGGTCACTTTTTTCCTGAGGTATGTTTGACCCATGTTTTGGCTGAATCCACAGGTGCAGAGCTCCAGGGTACAGAAGCTCACTGTACATTGTGTCAGCATTCAGATGCCTTCTCTTTTTAAGTGGGAGAACCTGCTACTGTGAAAGAGGAGATGGACAGGGAGCTAGGAAAACCACTAGACTGGTTTTTTGGAAGACAGGGTGTAGGGGCAAGTGCCCGTGACAGTTAAAGATATGGAAGCGCTGCCTGTAACACTAAGAGCATTGTTTCTCACTGCTGATGCTCCTACTCAGAGTGGCTGGTGCTGCTATCTCACTGTTGTGCTTCTCAAGACCTGGGAACAGTTGCTTTGGAAACCCGTAGGTTTAAGTTGTATACATTTCATTTATTTTAGGTATACGGGTGTTTTTCTTGAAAATGTGTGTGTGCCACATGTGTGTGTACCCATGGAGACCAGAGGCGGCACTGGATCACCTGGACTGGAGGTAACAGATGTGAGCTGCCTCCATGGGTGCTGGAACTGAAGGCAGGTCCTTCAAGAGAGGAGTGAGTACTCTTTAATTGCTGAGCCATCTCTCTAGCCCTCATATCTTCAATTTTTAGGCAGCCCTGTCATGCCTTTATTCAGATAACTGGTGACTGTTAAGGGACAGCCCTTCAGAGTACTGTGAGGCACTTAATTAATTTCTAGGGCTTATGACAACCTCTGTAAGTATTTCTATTTGTGAGTTCCATGTTTGTTTCCTTTTCTAAAAAGATTTATTATTTATATAGCATTCTGCCTGCACGTGTACCAACACACCAGAAGAGGGCACCAGATCTCACTATGAGCCACCATGTGGTTGGTGGGCCTTGAACTTACCCCTTTGAACAGCCAGTGTTCTTAACCTCAGAGCCATCTCTCCAGCCCCCATGTTTGTTTTTTTTAAAGGTATCCTCTACACGAAAGGGAAAAGATGGCACTATAATTCACTTAACACTCTGTACCCCAAAGCTCAAAAACTTTAAAGTCCTTCTTTGTCCTTTTTAAACTGCAAAGCAAACAGATGTCTGGCACAAGAAGGTTATTAGACGTATTCTGCAGTCTTGGAGAACCAGGGTCAAGATTTCTTGGCCTAACTTAAGATATAGACTCAAACCAAGGATACTGTCAAAGGAGATTGATGTTGGAAAAAAAAAAAATGGGGGAAGAAGTTCAAATTTCTGTATATAGTTGAAAAGAACAGTGCATTTCTAAAGTAACATACAAAATAAATGTATTTCCCCCCAAAATCAGTATGATGGGTTTTTGTAAGACAGGAGAGTTTCATTCAGATACAGCTCAGACAGAAAGTTTAGGTGGATGTGGTAGCTCATACCTGTAATCCCAGCCCAGAGGAAGAGTCATCATGAAACCAAAGCCAGCCTGGGCTACATAGCAAGACCCTGTCACAGAAGGTTAATGAATAGATGTAGAAACTTGAATGTGCCAAATTCAAATTGCAGGAAAAGTTAAGCAGTTAACAGCTAAGTTGACCGTTTAATGCTCAGTACTATAAAAATACACAAGCTTTGAAATGCAGACACTCTTGTATCTTACAAATAACAAGGCCACAAGAACATATTAATAATATACAATTAACTCAGTAGCCAAGATCCACAAAAGAAAACTGTCTGTTTACTGTATTTAGAAAAGACAGAATTTCTAAGTTGGGTCTGACATTAGGCTTTTCGATAGTGTTCTTTGTGAGGTTCTTAGCAGACATAGAAACCTCAGTTACAGTGGGAATACTGTATTTTACAAACTTACTTTATGGATCCTGACACACTGTTTTAATAAAAGAAAAAGCAAAAATTTCCTGAACTGGAAAAGGTCTATATGTGTTTTCAGCTGTTATTTAGTATAACCATGGAACTCATTAATAGTCTATGACTAGGTAGCAAAGTCAGGTTGAAAAAATTAAAGATACCAGCACTTGGGAGGCAGAGGCAAGTGGATCTCTGTGAGTCTGAAGTCAACCTGGTCTACATAGCAAGTTCCAGGACAGCCAGGACGACACAGAGAAACCTTATCTCATAAAAGTAAAACAAACAAACAAAGAAATGGTATTCTGTTCATATGATGGGAAAATCAAAGGGCACCAAACAACAGCATAATGGCATCTTGAAATAGAAGGATAAAGAATGGAGGGATAGGTAGGCAAGAGAGAAGGCATGAAAACAGGAAAGTGGATGTGGAAATGAAACAAACAAAAACGATTAAAGGTACAGCAGCTGTTCCCTCTGGCCTTCTCTTACAAATTGTGTGTGTGTGTGTGCGCTGAGTTTTGTTGTTTGTTTGTTTTTGAGACAAGATCACACTATGTAATTCTGGCTCTGTCCTAGAACTCACCAAGTAGACCAGGCTGGCCTGGAACTCAGAGATCCACCTGCCTCTGCACTGCTGAGTGGGAGATTAAAGGTGCCTTATATACTGATATTTGTACACGACAGAAGAGGAAGAAATATAAAGAACCAGTGTGGAAAGAGAGCTCTGTTTCTAGGGAGGAATGGTGAGTCACTGGAGACTTTTACCCACATGCATGTAATACTTGAATAAATGCCTTGGTATTGTGGGATCTAGTTTTGGGGGTGGAAATAAAAAGGTAACAGTCATACATATCTGTGGAAGAAGAGGTAAGGAAGCAGGCTGCTACTATCTTACCCTAGCACAAGCAGGTCGCTGACAGCTAAGAGTAAACCCTCTTCCCAGGCCTTTGGAGCAGAGATGGTGGCAGCATGCTCATTGACTCCAACCCCTCAGCAGGTGGCAGCGTTCCCTTTGTTCTTTGGTGAAGTTCAGTGCTTTCTTCCAAAGATCGTTCTTCTCGCGACCCCTTCTTTTCTTTTTTTCTTCATTCCTCTTCTTTTCACAGTCCTCACTGATATGTGCCTTCTTCATACATTTGGAAAATACTTTTCCAATGATCTTCAAAACTGAGGAACTGTAACTTTACGATGAGGCAATTCATGTTTCCACGTTTAATTCTTAGGGGACTCATCCTTGAAACTAACTTCAGGCTACATAGGGCAGACCATGAACGCAGATCACATCTTGTCTCCATATCACCTGTCCAACTCTAGAGCTGGAATGCCATGAAAAGCCATCTCTAGTCAAACCTCGCAGTGTTAACTTGCTCACGTTAGCATAGAAGTTAAGTTTTTGCCCATTTTTTTGTTTTACTGCAAAGGTATTTGGAAACTTCCCAGGCTTGTCACTGGCTCTTATATAACGGGAACATGTTAAACCACTGGTCCTAGTTCCTTTGCTTGTACGATGCAGGGTCTTTGAGACTTCTCGATCTTCCATCCTTATATCACAGAGCAGTCTGCCACCATGTAGGATGGAAGAAGGCTGTGCTGCTGCAGAAATACAACTATTTTTAGAGAAAAAGAAAATGTCTTATGGGGCTGGAGAGAAGGCTCAGTGGTTAAGAGCACTGGCTGTTCTTCCAAAGGACCCGGGTTCAATTCCCAGCACCCACATGGGAGCTCATAACTCTCTGTAACTCCAGTTCCAGGGGATATGACACTGTCACACACATACAAGCAGGCAGAACACCATAAGATACATACATAAGACAAAAATATACATAAATAAGATAAAAATAACTCATTTAAAAAAAGAGAAAATGTTTCGAGCAGAACATTGCTAAGTAATACAAAGAGTCAAAAACCAAATTGAAGCAGATGATGTAGGGGGAGAGGATACTTGGAATAAGATAGAGCTTATATAACACACAGCACCTCTATAGCACACGGCATCTCTATAGCACACAGTATATTTTCCCAGACAGCATTTTTGGCAGTCACTGAGCAGACCTTAGGTTCAAATGCTGGAAATTTCTTAGTGAGCTCATTTATTTAAAAATGAAATTAGAGTTGATCTTCCTTCCTGGCTATTTTGATATTCTTTTGATAATAAACATTTTTTTAGCTTTAATTTTATTAGGTGAAATAGCTTTTTTTTTTTTACCTTATGAAAACAAAAAATGATCAGTGTAAAAAATCTTCTATAGCCGGGTAGTGGTGGCAAAAGCCTTTAATCCTAGCAGAGGCAGGCAGATCTCTGAGTTCAAGGCGAGTTGGTCTACAGAGAGTTCCAGGACAGCTAGTGAAATACAGGGAAATCCTGTCTCAAAAACAAAACAAAAAAAGAAACAAATAAAGAGACATAGTCTCTCTCTCTGAAATGCTCTCCCTTCCTTTTTGGACTTTTGTTTATTCTCTGTTTTCTGTCATTTAGATAAACATACTTATCTCCGTTTGTATATGTCTTAATATTATGTCATTGAATTTTAATGAATACTTTGAAAAATATATTAACCCTAGGGTAAGGGGTAAATTAAGAAATGATCAGCTTAATGAACAGAACAGAAAACAATTTGCAAATATTCAGTGGCTGATCAAACTATCAACTGACAGTGATGGTTCTTCAGTGAGGCCAACTCTCAGCAGGCTTGACTTGACCAAAGGACGGTGGACAGCTGCGTTTCTAGGAAGAGGATTCTGATTACTGTGGAACACAATCACCAACATCTGTTTCTCCATCCTCTTAATACATACACCATTTCTGGGTGTGGAGGCAGGAGAATCAGAAGTTCAAGACCACTGTCAGCTACAGTGAGTTCCAGGGCAGCCTGGGATAGATAGAAACCTGTCTCAGAGTTTTCCGAGGAAATACAGGGGCTTAGGAGTGTCTCTTTAGTTATCTTGAGAGTCTCAGATAAGAAATGGCCTCAGGGGCCAACTACACAGTATGCCCTTGAGATAAAGATCCAGATGGCCGCACAGGGAGACACTGCACCCATGCTTTTCATGATAGCCAAGTTATGGGCTCACTTTTGGAGCAAGTGCCTGAGGACAGCGAGGCCCTCAGTCATTTTGGCTACCCCAGCTAGGAGTTCTAGACTTGTAGGTGAAACTACCTTGGACATTCCAGATCCAGCCAAACCCTTAGCAGAACAGAACATGTCTTTTCCCTCCATCACAACCGTGGGGAAAAGAATTGACCAGCCATCCCTTCCCCAAGAACTTCGGAGAAACAATGACGGTCGCTTCAAGTCTCTGGGTTTTACTGTGATTTGTTGTGAAGCAATAGATACTTGACTCAGTTATCAAGCCCTGGCATGGTTAACTTGACTTTGTGCCCTGTGAAGAACAGTTTTCAAGCCAAGGATTCAAGTTCCCAAAGCTGACTCATCCTAACGAATGTGGACCCCACTGGCCAGCCACCACTCTATGCATAAAGTTTAGGACAGTAGGGAGCACCTAACAGTCCCAAGTGTTTGTTGACTGAATCACTGAAAGAATGGAGATGAGGGACCCTGTCACCAGGAGGTTAATTTAGGCAGACTTTGTCTGTTTTCTCGTTCAAAAAGGGTACTCCTCCTTTCAAATGTTACCTAGAAGCACTGTGGATATTGATTTCCTTTCAATGGCACTCCAAAACATGGGCTCCTCTGAAACATTTAGTTCCTATTATTAAAAGTGCTAAACCATGTCCCATAGGGCTAGAGCGTGAGTTAAGACCAAAGCAAAAGATCCAGCAGCCAAAGGGAACAGAAATAAAACTCTTGCACGTCACTCCCTGAGTGACAGTTTCTGAGTGCCACATGGGCACAACAAAAGGCTGTTCAGCTCTGTGGTCTCCCAGGAACACCCAGTTCAGTCTCGATTTGCCCGAGACCAACGATTCCATTCAGAACATCTCTTTCCTGACACCGGAAAGGTGACAGTACCATTTGCAAAAGCTTCGGAAGAGGTTTAGGGTATGGAAAGCTTACAGTCAGTTGAACTTTTCTCTTGGAATACAGTGTTTGTATGACTCATAGCAGGGCCTTCTGGAGAAAGTCTGAGCAAACGGTGTTTAAAAGAACATTCACGGGTAAAGGTGTGTGCCATCAACCCTGAGAACCTGCGCTGGGTCCCCAGAAGCTATGTGGAGAGAGGAGAGGACAGACTCTTGCAAGTTGTCCTCCGACATGCGCGAATGTGCCATGGCCTGTGCACATTTGCTAACTAACGCGTTAGTTGCACACACAACAAATAAATGTTAATCAAAACTGAAAACTAAAAGAACAAATAACAGAACAAACAAGAGGAAAGCCTTCAGAACCACAGAACGGGGCAGTTTAAATTCAAAGCCAATTATGTTATCCAGTCCATTATTTTCTGTTATTTAGAAAATGCTCTTCAGGTAAAAATAGAGACGTTTGCTTAAAAATTAAAGCTCCCTTGTTGAAGGGTCAGAGGTGCGGAAAGGAGAAAGGCACAGCGGCTGTGGAGTGCTCACACAGGATGCTTTAGCACAGAGCTACACCAGCACATCAGCCATTCATACTATCCACATCCAGTTCTTGCTGTCCCCCTTATAAAAGGAACCAAGAATTTTCCTCAGACATCTTCTGGGTATAACAAGAATACAGTTTTGGAATCAGCTGTTAGAAACTACAATTAAAGCTGGTTTATCATACTCCATAATTATTCTATATAGTTAAGTCTCCCTGGAGCTTTACATAATTCTCCCTTTGTTATAAGCTTCTGTTTCTCCCTAGGGGGTTTTGAATCCAGACAGGTAAGGAAATGAAGTGCTTGGAAACCAGTGTATTGTAATATCTGTACAGCCAAGGGGATACATTTTCATTTGAACTTGATTTTTTTTTTTTTTTTTTTATTGCTATTTGGACATTTTCCCTCCTGGCCTACTCACATCCTTTGAATGGAGGCTATGTCAGTATTTCCTTCAGAAACATATTTAATGCTGTGAAAGGAAAGGGGGATTTATCAGAAACGCCTAACAAGACCTGATGTTGTCAGCCTGGCCGGCACCTGCCAACACTGGTTATCTACCCATTCACCACTGCAGAGTAGAGGAACCTGACATGCAGGGAAGCAGCTAACTGCTTTCCAGCTCTCTTCCCTCACTTGCAAGTGCTTGTGGGCTGGGGTCGTGTTCCAGCAGCCCAGCAATGTAAAGTACACACATCCCTGTGCTCTAGGAGCGATGCTCTGGGGACAGAAAAGAATCCTTTCCCCCAGCCCAGCATCAGGAAGCTTAGGAATGAATGCCTTTCTTTTTCTGTAGAAGGAAGATTTCCACACTCCTTAGACATTCAGACTAATGTCACACAAGATGGCTCCAGGGAAGAGCAAAAGGCAGAGATGCTAGTAACAGGGACCCTTGGGAGAGGGACAAATGTGGGCCATTTTCCCCTCCTCAACCTGCTTCTCTTGATGTAACTTCATCCTTATTTTCCCCACGAAGTGGTAGACACTCCACTGAGCACAGCTTAGGTTTTTACCACGCATCTCACCTAACACCTAAGTGTAAAATAGATCTCCCTAAGACTCGGCTGTGTGAGCATGATTTACTTACATCTTTAGGAAGCAAATGGAGGCCTTTCTCTATTGTTTTCAGATTGCTCTCCTTAGTGGCCCTGCCTCCCTCAGCTGACCAGAACCGTGCACAAGAACAGCCTGCAATCAACATCAACAGCCAGGGCTAACTCCTGCGGAGAGATCTCAAAAGGATGCATCCAAATGCAAGGTTTGAGTAGCCTCAGAAAGCTCTTAATAGAACTGTAAATATCCCTGGTTTAATTAGCAGTCCTGGAGCTAGGTAATGGCCCGTGGCTCTTTGAGCCAGGCCTCGTGAGGTTTCTAGGCTTCAGGGGCTGCCTGCAACTATGCTGTGCCCATACGCAATTTTCATAAACCCTCGGCTGGCCTTCCTAGACACCTACTCGCAATTACTGCAATACCCATGACAGCTGACTACTATTCTTCAAATTTCTAAAATGACCCAGTGCTTCAGCTTAGGTCTCAAGTCAGATTCTTTAGGATTCAAATTGTCACCCTGAGAACTAAGTCCTCTGGGAAAAGAATTGAGAAAGGAAGAAATCCCTACACTGGTGTTGATGTCATTTTTCTCCAAGCTCAAGGTGATCGCTTGCTTTGTGGCTGGCTGGCCGGTGGAGGAGGAGGGGCTCCAGTTATCAGCCTCTCTGAACCAGCTCTCTCAACCGCGACAGGTCAGCCAATCCCGGCAGTAAGCTTTAACTTGACAGGTTTGTTCTGGGCTGACAGCCATTGACTAGGTGCTCAGATAAAGTCACCTGGCTGAGTCTACAGTAGGTGGGGCGCGCTCACCAGCTCAGGGGCAGTGACTGGAAGTTTGTTGCAACATCGGTAAGCCCAAGCAGCCAGCAGCAACAGGATGATACCCTTTGGCCCCGCGAGTACAGCTCTAGAAAGGGTTCACCTCATTAAGGGAAGGAGATGCGTCAGACCCCCTAGGGCCCGGCCTCTTCTCCCACGGCTGGGAACGCGCGGCGTGGGCAGATCCAGAGCAGGAGGGTCTTGTCCCGGCCTTCTGGCTCGCTCCACGGATTGCAAGCCAAAGTGAGGAACAGCTTGGGGACTCTCCGCATCAGCGTGCACAAACCGGCGGCGGCCAGCAGAGAGGGGTGGCGGGGGCACGTGCTAGGATGTGGGTGCTTGTGTAACCAGCTCCCCAGGCGCCTGGCCCCGACAGCGCTCCGGAGGACCGCTCGTGGGTGCTCTCCTCCGCTCCGACCCGGGAAGAGCGGGGATCCAGCTGCCCACACCGCAGGGAGCACCCAATACAGCAGGGAGGGACGACCTCCTGCCTCAGGAGCAGAGAGGGGAATGGGAATTTGGAAAGTTCCCCAACTAGGACCACACGTGACCTTCTCCTGAAAGTAGTTCCGACCAAGGCTCCGCGTATCCTTCCACCTCGCGTTTGGGCCCTCCCAGGCCCGCTCGCCCCGCCCACTCGCAGGCTGCAGCTTCCGACCGTCCGGTGCTCCACACCGGGGCTCGCTCACCGAGTCTGGAGCGTGCACGACCCCGCCGGGACGGAACCTAGGCACACCGCGATCCAACCGTGCCGGGTTTTCATAGCGCCCACCACGGGGAGGGGTGGCTTAGCCCCCTCCGAGACCGAGCTTGACTGCGATCCGGCGGACCCTCCGCTGCAGGGAGCAGCCGGGCTCCTCACCGGGCGGTGTGTGGGGTGCACCGTATTCACGCAGACCCACCTTCGCCCCCCGAGGGCTGTCCTCTGGGCCCCGAGAGGTGGACGCACACGCCCCGTATGCACAATCATCAGGCTTGGCTGAGAGCGTTCATCTTTCGGGCATGTGAATGCCCGTCCATTTGCTGGGAAGCAAGAGGTGGGGCGGGGAACCGGAGCCCGAGGAGGTGACCCACGCGGGACACACACACGGGGTGGGGGGTTGCTCTTTGTGCAAAGACTGACACCTTGAGGACACCGGTGGGGGGGGCGTGGAGGGGGAGGTGCGCTATCTAGGTAAAGACGGTCGCCCACAAATCCCAGCCAAGCCCTGCAATCTGACCACGGCGCGGGGCAGGGGACGCCAGCCGACCCGACCGGACCCGGGGACGGAGGCAGGAAGGGTGTCCCCGCCGCAGGGCCCCGCGCCCGAGGCTCCCGGGGCAGCGGGGCCGGCTAGCCCGGTGCGCCCGTGAGCCGGTCACCGAGCCCTCCCCGCGGCGCCCCTCCCCTGCTCCCCTCCCCCGGCCCGGCGCCCGCCTCTCCCGCCTCCCCTCCGGCTCCGCGGGCGCCCGGCTCTCCCGGCGGGGCGGCGGAGGGGGCGGGCGCCGGGCCGGCGCACGGTGATGTGGCGGGACTCTTTGTGCACTGCGGCAGGATACGCGCCCGGGCGTCGGGACGCGGCCGCGCTCGGCTCTCTCCTCTCGGAAGCTGCAGCCATGATGGAAGTTTGAGAGTTGAGCCGCTGCGAGGCCAGGCCCGGCGCAGGCGAGGGAGATGAGAGACGGCGGCGGCCGCGGCCCAGAGCCCCTCTCAGCGCCTGTGAGCAGCCGCGGGGGCAGCGCCCTCGGAGAGCCGGCCGGGCGGCGGCGGCGGCAGCGGCGGCGGGCCTCGCCTCCTCGTCGTCTGTTCTAACCGGGCGGCCTCCGAGCGGCTTCGGAGAGAGACGGTGGAAGCCGCGGGCTCGGGCGGGAGCCGGCGCGGGCTCGGCGGCTGCACCTCCCGCTCCTGGAGCGGGGGGGAGAAGCGGCGGCGGCGGCGGCCGCGGCTCCGGGGAGGGGGTCGGAGCCGCCTGTCACCATTGCCAGGGCTGGGAACGCCGGAGAGTTGCTCTCTCCCCTTCTCCTGCCTCCAACACGGCGGCGGCGGCGGCGGCACGTCCAGGGACCCGGGCCGGTGCTGAGCCTCCCGTCCGCCGCCGCCGCACACCCCCTGGCCCGGGCTCCGGAGGCCGCCGGAGGAGGCAGCCGCTGCGAGGGTTCTCCGTCTTCTCCCCATTCCGCTGCCCCGGCTGCCAGGCCTCTGGCTGCTGAGGAGAAGCAGGCCCAGTCGCTGCAACCATCCAGCAGCCGCCGCAGCAGCCATTACCCGGCTGCGGTCCAGGGCCAAGCGGCGGCAGAGCGAGGGGCATCGGCGACCGCCAAGTCCAGAGCCATTTCCATCCTGCAGAAGAAGCCTCGCCACCAGCAGCTTCTGCCATCTCTCTCCTCCTTCTTCTTCAGCCACAGGCTCCCAGACATGACAGCCATCATCAAAGAGATCGTTAGCAGAAACAAAAGGAGATATCAAGAGGATGGATTCGACTTAGACTTGACCTGTATCCATTTCTGCGGCTGTTCCTCTTTGCTTTTCTGTCACTCTCGTAACGTGGGAGTAGACGGATGCGAAAATTTTCCGTAGTTGGGGTGACTATAACGTTTAATACCGGTCGCATTTCTAGATCGTGTATTTTGTGTCTCTACGTCTGGTTAACCCAGGGAGTGTTCGGCTAGACGGAACTCATGCCTGCTTGCAAGTGTCAAGGCACGGATTGGTTTCTTGTCTCGCTCTGTGGTCTCTTCCTGAAATCTATTGTCCGTTAATGCAAGAGTACTGTGCTCTGGATTAACCAGCTCGTTAATCCAGTCATCTAGACGAACAAAAAAAAAAAAAAAAAAAACAAAACAAAACCAGACCCTTTGAGGGTTGTGCATATTTCGATTAGATCGTGACTTAGGCCCTAGATCTAGGGTGTAGATCAGATTAAAATGAAAGTCCGAGCTGCACGTAGGCATATTGCCTCAGAATCTTGCAGTGATTGTTTTTAGTTTCCTGGGTTGCATTGGTGGATTTTTTTCTAAAATGTGACTTGGCTGATTTGCATAACTTTATAGGCATAGTCATCTTCAGCATAGATGGTGCACATTTGAGGTTAAAAGTAGGTTTGTGTGTTTAAACTGAGCCGATTACAACTTTGGAGCTGCCTTTAGGAGTTTTGTAGTTTGAAATCAGTAGTGCCAGAATATGTGTGATTGGAGCTTTTAATAGAACTTTGTTAAATTATACATTCTTTCCCGAGGAGACGGCGGATAGGATATGGAATTTGCATTTCAGTGGTATTTTACATTCATTTGGCCTTGTCATACACGATGGAATGGACAGTTTTTGATCCCAGATGATGGTGTCCGTGTGAGTTCAAGGATACTGTGTGTGGCAAATGATTGCAGAGGTTAAGCCTTAGCTCTGACATGAAATCTAAGCATTAGCGTGAACTGGAATCTGCTGCTCGTATTTTTTGTCTCAGGTGCTCTGACCCGAATGACTGTCCATGGGTTTTGCCTTGATTTGTGTAGGCTGTCAAGTGTAGTTTAGCCAGCTCATGTCCAGAAATCATGTCCTGGCAAGGATGGAGCACTGGCTCCAGCCTGTAGGTATGCCAGCTTTCTGCATGCAGTAATTTACTGAGTCAGCTTGTTGAATAAGATAGAAACCCAAGAATTTTAACGGTGTGTAATTCCGATTGTCTAAAAGTTAGGCCTTTGTACTTCAAAAGTTCGTGGTTATCTTAAAGCATTTATCTCTGCAGTTTCAGGTACGGTGCTGGTTTTGATCAGGGGTAGGAAAGAGAGCCCTCCTCTTTTTGCAGAGTGGGAAGTTTTGACAGAAATTGAGAGCCTTTTTGAGGGGGCCGGGTGTGTAAGGTGTGTGAAAATACAAGTTGCTGGTCTGAAGTGACTGGGGCTTTAAGATCTATTGGGCCTTTTGTTACAACCCAAAATTTTGTGATAGGACTTGTAGCAATGAACAATATTTAGTTAAAATTACGTAATTGCATAATTTTTAACAAGGTATTCTTGGTAAAAGTTATTTCTTAGTAAATATTAGTAGACATTTTAAGGTAGGAGGGCACAACTTGTTGATACATGTCCTGCTAATAAAATAGAGCATTATGGAGAGGTGGGTTTTGTTTTTGTTTTTTTTTGTTTTTTTTTTTTTGTGCATGTCGTTCTTTTTTAGAAAATATTTTTATTTGGAAGAGGTTTGATATATTGCATTAGCAGCATATAAAATACATAGCTACTTTTTGACCAAGGTTTTGTTTTGAAATGAAGATGAAACTCACTGAAGATTGGGTTCAAAACAGGCTAATTTTCTTTTAAGCTAAAAATACAATAGGAAAGAATACAAATTCGAGTTTGCTTTCATTGAAAAGCTTTACTCAGGATGAACTTGACCTTTCGTAAAGATAATTGGAGAAAATTGAGTTGTCACTTGCTTCAGGAGAGTTTACTTTTGGTGTGAATTAGTGATAATAGTCTTGATCTAGAAGGAACTAGTCAGGTATCTAATGAAAAAGAAAAAGGCTCATGTTCAAAGAAAAATCTAGAATGCCTGGTAGACAGACTTCTCTTAGCTTCCAAAGTATACTTCTTCTTTGGTCTTCTTACTTGATTTAAAATTGTCAGGGGTCCAGAACTTCAAGATTATTTTGCCAGATTTCTGTGTATGAGCAGTGACGTGATTGCAGTTCCTTATTTGATTTCATAGTGCATGGGCTTCTGCACGTGCGATTTATGTGGCCTAGAGCTCTAGAACTGTGCTTTCAGTTAGGACATGCATAGAAAGCAGTATCAAATATTGCGTCAAATGACTAATAACAATTTCTAGAGCTGTGGTTTTATTGAGCCAAATGTTGCTATGAAAAAGAGTCAGTCATGGAAAAGTCATCAAGTCCTTGCTCTTTTGAAACTTGTCCTCCCAGTAATTAGGATAAGCCAGAGGGCTCACTTGGTTCCTCATCAGTGTTTTTTTTGTGTTAGGGGCCAGGGATTAAAATGATCATTGAAGACTTGTACTGGTCAGTGTTGGCAATAGGCTGGCCAAGTTAAATTCCTGTATGAAAGTAAGCGGGATACTTTTATTTGCTAAAGAAGGGTCAACTGTGATGTACTTTCTCAGAGGAAAGTTGAGGAAAATTCAGTTTTTCAAAATCCTTTGCAAAATTGAATTGTAAGAATTTGTTGGCTAGATTTTATTAACAACAGTCTGGAAAATAGGCAGAATGTGAGAATGTCTTCAAGGCACACGGGAGGTTCAGGCGTCTGTTAACAAGTTTTTTGTTTGGTAGATATTCTTTTCAAATACCAATCATGGAAATCTTAGTACCTTATAGTGAGCATAGTGATTATTAATATTAGCTGTTTTGTTACAGGCAAATGATTGTTGAAAGTAATTACAGTTTTTTTTTTTTTTTTTTAGAAGACTCCACAACCTTTATCTTGGTTTTTTTCATAGTCATTTGTGTTTCTTTCCAGAGAAACATGACTACATAATTGCTGTATAATAAGTTGCAAATTTCATTTTTCCTAAACTTACTGAAGAGCAAAGTGCGTCAAAAGGAGTAATTTGCAGTTATATATAATTCAATATAAGGAAAAGAAATTTTATTACTGTCAATTGTAAAAGTTTACACAGCAGTATAGTGATGCAAACTTAGATTGCTTATAAAGTTTTAAATAAAGATTAAATGATTCAAGTTAAATATGACATATAACCACGTTAATTTTAGCTTAGATTTAGAAAGTGGAGATTCATTACCTTTAAAATTTTTATCTTACTAACAGAAAGGCAGACAGTATATTTTAATTTTTGTGTGGAACATTTCTAATTTTTCATAACTATATAAAATGAATCCCTAACTATTACGAAATAGCTTATCTTCTGGAAATGAGTTCAGTTCTTACTTTTACACATTACAACTTGAAATTTGTCTTTATTTGCTGTTTGTTCATTTGTGCATAGCTTGACAGTGTTTAACAATTTTTAAGCCACTTCTGAAATAGTCACTTTGATGATTTGATTAGAAAATTGTTCATGTAGGAATAAAAAACAGAAAATTTGAACATTCATTGCAGTAAATCAGTTTTCAATATTTTGTGTCTCTGTTTTAAATAAGCTCAAAACATAAGACTGTTTTTATGTTGATACTGTATATAAATTCAGAGTTGGTAAAGTTAACTTTAGAAGCCTGTGTACATAGGACAGCATTTTATTTCCACAAGCCTATTCCACCTTACAAGTGTTTAGTTCCAGAAGACAGTGTTAGTTATTAATAGATAGCGGTTTTGTTTTTCCATTAGAAAATACTAGCTCATAAAACAAAAGTTTTACTGCACAGAGCAGATGACTCTTGAATTTTGTTCCTTTTCTTCTCCTAGTAGATAGATAAACTTGATTTTCAGAACCAGCATTGGAAAATTGGTTTTGTGATTTACACTTAAGACAAGTTACAGGATTTGTTCCGAGGATCATAATTTAGGTAGGATATTTATGTCAGAAATGAGTTCTGTAAATAGTATTTTTGGAGTTGCTTTTAATCTGGCAGTTTTGAAATTGATGCAGTTGCTGTTGGAGATATCATTGATGTTGAGTATAGCTGAAATAGCTTTACCTTAGTAAGGATTTGCCCATCCTTTTTTTTTTTTTTTTTTTTTAGGCCATGCTACTGTCACATAGCTTTCTTGGTTAGGTGCTTAAAGGTGTCTGATGTGGGATGATGGTTCTTTTGGTACTGAAAGTATTGGCAGAGATGAAATTAGAGTCTTGGGTTTGATGCCTCACCTCATTTTCTATGCTTTTCATTGGTTGCAGAAGGGGTGCCAGTAGTTTCATCTTCTAAAATAATTTCTATTGGAACAAAAAGGCTGTTTTTTAGGGGAATGTTATTATCAGAGTAAACATATTTTGGGAATGAGTTGACTTTGCCTGGGAAGTTTTAATTTTGTTCAGAATGGTTAGGGCATACTTCTCCATTTCAACAGTAGGCGTTAGGGACATCTTGATGGTACTAGGCTGGTAATGTTAGCTTTGGAGAGATGGAACTTCAGTTGCACCTGCTAGCAAAAGAATGTTCTTGACCTGTATGTATATGGTGTGGAAAAGACTATAAATGTGCGCCTTTTGTATAATTAGTCAAACAGTTATAATCGAAGCCAGCACTCTAAATATAAGCAATGACTAACTTATATTTGAGTTTTCTATGTGTATGTATGTGAGTATAAAGTTAAAAACTTATATTCTAGGAAATGGATTTCTTTTTAGAGAACAGACTGCTTTGGGGCTTATCTTAAAACATGATTGAGTCTTAAATTACCTTAAAATATGGCTGGCTTTATCTATACTCTCTGCAGTTATACAGTGTTTCATTTAGTTTTAGGCAAACAAGGTGGACTCAGGCCAGCCTGCTGCCTGTGCTATAATAATCTTGGCTGTCACTTGGCTGGATAATTCTTTGCTATTTAATTTCTTTCAGTATTACTTTACCTGAAATAAGGGAAG